AAACCAACACATTAAAAACCCTACAGATGTTGGTCAGCCAGGCCCATAGCTCAAGGCACACCCTGGTTCTCAGGGACTGGCATGGCAGGTTGGTATTTATTCACTGGTTGAATAAGGAGAGTGCTGTAAGATCAGCACAACTTCCATAGTATTTCAGGTAGCGTGGGGATATCCTCGTCTTGAGGATATCATCCTGCTCACTCTGTATTTATGACAGCAACATTTTTATTGGCCCATCCTAGAAATGAGGTCCCACCATGGCAGAACCTACATAAAATGCATAGAAATTGTGCTTCACCTCAAAAAGTTTAATACCCTGAGAATCATCATGTCTTTGAATGTGCTACCTGAAGCCAAGGGGGAAAATAAACAAGCCCCAAACATACTTAACTAACCTAGACACCTCCTGGACTGAATCTGTGGTTGGAGCAGATTTACTTCAGTGAGTAACAGCACTGGAATCCCAGGGCTGAAGCGTGCTGTGCTTTAAATAACACCTAGATAACACTGTGGCTGCAGGGCTGCAAGGTGAGGACAGTTCTCAGCCTACTTATTATTTTTATTACTGTAAAGAACCTGCTCTTCAACCTCATCCCTCCTCTTTTTTTGGCCCAGGTATTTAATGACCATTTTGAAAGAGCCATGTAACTCTGGGTCTAGCCTAGGCTCTGAGGAGGGGAAATAAGCTCCATGATTTTTAAAGCATAGTACTCTGGACATTATGAGCCCTAGAGAGACATCACAACATAGCCCAGCAAGAACTGTCAGACTGGCTGTGTCTTCTTCCTGTACAGTTCAGCTTTATTTTAGTTTTATTTACAGGCTGTAAATAGTACAGCCATTTAGTTGTTTCAAGGTTATAAACCATTCCCAGAGAGATTTTCCACTTCCAGGCACAAGGAAGTATTGCTCACTTTTTTTAAGGGATAAGGTTTATTATTTTCAGTCCTGCAGTTAATTACCAGAATAATTTATTCCATCAGCAAGGATGATCATTTGGTAGTATCCATAAAGAAGTACAGATGTGTAAGTGAACCAGAATTTTCAGTAACATTAACAGAGGGTGTTCCATTCCAGCAATTCTCACACATTGGGGAAAAAAAAACCCTCATGGGCAGTGGGTAGGTCTGCTTCTAGACAGCTTGTGTCTGCTCCTGATCCACTGCTTCTACCCCATCCTCAACAGCTCATCTGTGAGAACATCTGGAGTGTTGGTCAGACAGGGCAAACTCAAAACTGCTACACAAAACCAGTGATAAGGTTAATATGTCCCATCTGATCTGCCATGATGAATCTTACATCTCAAATAACTTTACTCTGGGCCTACTTCTCTCTTCCTTGTTCAGATACTCATTTTCTAGTTTTCCACTTCAGCTGTTTCTCCTGAGCTTGTGGCTTGAGAGAGACAGACTGGCAAGACTCAGCAGAAGCAGCAGCTTGCAGTTAAGGAACCACAGAGCGTATGTCATGTTGGCTGCACAGAGAGATGCCTGGTTTAAATTTGTACATACTGTTTGTTTGATCATTTTGATTCCTTTGCAAAAGATATACCACTGCCTGATCCAAGCTAGAAAACTTTTAAGTGCTGCCCTTACTGCAGTAAAGCTGGACGATGCGTCACGCCGCTCAACACGATGACTGTTTTTCTTGCAGACATCAGCACTGTAACAAGGAGGAATCCCAGATCTAAATAAGAAGGCTGAATACTTTCTTGGACCACTAAAGTTTCCAAAATATAAACAGTGGCAAAGATTACAGCATACACTTTGCTATTCATCTCTCTTCCTTTCAGCGAAGTTAAGTGCTTACAGAAATGCTGGAGGTTCAAGCTGCCCACCCCCAAGGAGGTTCTCCAGGCAAAGGTGTCTCACCAGCCCCAAGCTTCCCTCCAGCCCCTGAACCTGCTCAGGCCTTGGCCTCCATCTGGAAAAGCTACCTGCCAAATCAAAGTGGCTTTGGTTACCTCTAATTAGAAAGCCACTACCTCGTTCATTTGCCCAACAGCCACAGGAGCTGGGCTGCTCCAGAAGCTGCAGCCAAGAGGAGCAAGTCATAAGTCTCAGCAGATGTCTGCACCACACTCAGCTCCATCATCATCCATTGCTGTACCACAATGTGCTGGCACAGCCATAAGATAACACGTAACTACCTTGAGCTTAATTACTACTTCCCTGAAATGTGACCTGGTAGTAACGTGGCACGTGTAGGAAAGAATTGCTTTTGTTGTAGAACAGTGACAGCTGTCTCTGGAGATGGACTTACTCTGAGTCAATGTGCCTTTAAAATTAATACATGGAGGAAATGAACCACTCAAGGTTAACTGGAAGACTAGAATCAGTGTAAATGAGAGCCTGCAAGAGAAGACAAAGCTAAAGGTGGCAACTCCTCAATCATAAACACAATGCAGAATAACATACAACCTCCCCTTCTCTTCTAGCATCTCTGTTTTGCTATGTTATGAATAATGACCAAAAAGACTTTGAAAATCCCACACTAGCAAGTTTTGAGGAGCAGGGTCTAGGAGCATCCACGAGGATTTATAGATGGCTGGGTCTGGCTATCCCACACGTAGGGGAGAGGCTGTTTCTGCTCACCTTGATTTCCACAAGGAATCATTAATGGTGCTGTGGGAGAGCTGTCTTCTCTTGAAAAAGCAAAGGAAAATTAAGTTTATCAATTTAACAAACTGCACAGAGGAAAAATGAAAGTATTTTCTGTAGCATATATGCATGAACAGAAAGATTGTATGCAACAAATATGAATTACAAAAATCAATCTCAGTATTCATCCCAGATTTTGGAGAGCCTAGAACCCTCATTTTAGAGGAGAGAACCAGATAGCTCATACTATGTAGGAAAGAAAAGAATTTGGTTTAGTATGGCTCACAGAAAGAGGGACTATAAATGGCAGAACTGGAAGCTGGATGGATTTACATGTAAAGTTTGAAACAGTCTGTTGAAAACAAGTATCAGTCTAGATGCATGAAATAATACAGGAATAAAAAAAAAAATTGTATTTTTCATCTAAATTAGCAATGTTTAAACTTTGGGACACTTGATACATGTTTTAAGTCTTATCTTTACAAATAGATCTACACTTGCTCTGTGTGTACAGATCCACAGAATGATAAATACAATGAATGTATATTGCATGTAAACCTGGGGAAAAGTTCATGGTAAGACAATGCAAATACCTTCTCTTGCAGCAGCATCTTTTAACAATCCAGTCCCATCCAGTCGTGGGATTCTCTAACTTGTGCTAAAAAGGCAGCCAAAACAGTGATAGTCTTTGGCTTTTAGCTACATGTGTCTAAACAAAGACATTTTATAATCAGAAGTATTTGTGGCCTGGAGTATATTGGTTTATATTCCCCTTGGCACTACTAGCAGTAATTTCACAACACTTTAACAACCAAAAAAACACTACTCAAAATGAAGCTCTCATTTTCATTATTTCTCCCTAACCAATTTTCTTCATTTAAACTCTAAAGCAATGCTTTATTTACATATTCTCTTAAAAAAAATAAAATAATCTAGAAACAGTTAAAACTTCAGTTAGGCAAAACTCCTGTACTTAACACAATTTCCCATTATGTTATGGAATAGTTATGTGCTTGCTTATTATATATAGAAGGAAAAAGTAACTTTTTCAAAATGAGAATTTGAGTGGTTATCCAATGTTAGTTTAAAGAAAAAGAATCAAAGCTAATTGCCTAATCTCACTTGTGTTTTTTCATTAGGTCTCTTGAGGGAAAAAAAAATTACTCAAACCAGTTGTATGGATATTATACAGACAATTCCAGTTTGTTCCACTGCACTCAGGTCAGGCTTGACAAAGTACAGTCTATAGGTAATATCTTTCATGGAAAGGGAAAAGAACAAAGAGAAAAAATGTGAAAAATAGCTCATTGGTGAGGACAAGAGAACTGCAAGTGATCACAGCCATACTCGCTGACAGAGTAACAGCTCTCTTCATTTAATTTCCCAAAGCCTCAGACAACATATACCTTACATGGAAATCTGAAACTCAAACCTACGTTTTCAGATTAGCAAAGTCCTACAAATCCTCAGCCAGCTATGAGGAACACACATTTTTTCCAGCCAAACATACCTATGTCAAGCCTGGCCCAGGATGCTGCCAGTCAGGCAACGTGCTGGAGGATGATGCTCTGCTGCACCACAGAAGCAAAGGGAAGATCTTATAACTGAAACCATTAAAGAATAGGTATTTTTTTTAAAACCAAATCTGATATATTTGGTAAATGGAAAAATATGAAAGAAAAAAAACAGTTACCACAAATAATAAAGCAGCACGACAATGAAGAGATTTTGCCAGAGTCAAGGCAGTAAGAAATAAAGATTTAACTCTGGGTCCTTAACTATCAAAGGCAGATTGTGCTCCTTTAGACTGGAAATAATTTAAAGCCAGATGTAATCTTTAGACAGCTGATGGCCACAACAGACCTTGGAGGACTCAAATTGTTGCACTTTTCCCAGCTTTGTTAGGGTACAAAACTGGAAATAAATCCAGCTTCTTCATTTCTTTTCCTGTAGATGACAAAGAGGTGAAGCCCAAAGCATTTGAAAAAAAACAAACCAAACCAAAAAAAACCCCAAACAAACAAAAAACCCCCACCAAACCACAACAAATCCCACCAAACCCCAACTCTATCAAACATCCTACATGTCATTGGCTTGTACTTATGTTTTGGAGACAGTTTTTATGGGTTTTTTTTCAGTTTGGAGCACACCAAATTTTAAACACTTTTACAAAGCAAGCTTCCCTACTTGCTATATTCTCACAGCACCTTTTCAGTTCACCACGTATCTTGTTTTCACAGCTTGTGATCCCTTGAAAATCTGAAGGTCTCCACTGACTTCTTGAAGGACTTGAGTAGCTCTTATTATCAGAGGGATTTCAGCCTGGAAATGTCTCAGCTATGGTTGTCTTAAACAGGAATAAGAATAAAACTGGTGACTCCTTTCAAAAGAAAAATCATACCAAAGAATTATACAGTAAATAAACTTTATTTCATCTCAGCTTTTGTCAGATTAGTGCTGTCAACAGTCACCGATCAGCATATGATACAGTTCTGTATTAACTATTTACAATTTACAGTAACGTACTATTTCTCCAGAAAATATAAGTACAAAAGCTAGGAGTAAACAAATGAGGTACTGCAACTTGGATTTATTGTAGGCAAAAGCATATAGAAGTGATCTTTAGCAAACAATCATAAGATCAGATCGGGAGAGAGTAGTCATCAAGAGTGCCTAGTTCATGGGGAAAATCACCTCAACTGCTACCCATCCAAAAATGTATTGCACAATTCATTCCAAAAATAAAAAAAATAAATAGAAGAAACAAACCGTTTATTTCAACTCTTAAAAAACACCCAGCAAAGCCTGTATAGAGATACAGTAGTGGGCAATTCCTTCCTAGGATAAAGTCTTTTTCTCTCCTTTTAAAAAAATAACTTTTAACACAAAATAGAAGACAGTGTTTAATCGAGGAGAAAAGAGACTCATCACCAGATAACCCCTGATTAGCGTTTCTTGTCAAGGCAGTTTTAACTATATTCATGGTCCAAAGGTGGTGCTGAGTTTTGGTTCTTGCTGTTCCATTTGTGACCTTGAATAATAGCTTTTCTTCTTGTCCCTTCTCAAGGGACAATAGTTCTGAATATATTTCTAAGCAGCAGTGTCATGAGACATTCTCATCATAATTCCTTCAAGATGGTCGTAGCCATGACTAGAAGAAAAGTCAGAACAAATGAACAAATGTTACGTTGAGAGCAACTTAGAAGCACTTAATAGTGAAATGATTATAACATTGCTGTTTATTGATAGGAATAGGAGATGGAAGGAGTTCAGATAAGACAAATTGTTAAATTAACTGATTTTGAGCAAGTAGTTCCATTCCAGCATCTGCAAAGCAGCTGAGAAACTGTTTTGAAAATAAAATAACCTGCAGCAAATCAGTCAGGAGTCTCCCTGTAAATAGACAGTCTACCAAATTGTTGCATCTTAACCCAATGAAAAACAAAGTTGCCCTCTCTGCAGAAGGGCTGTCATCAAAATTGAAATGACCCAGGAAAATTTGGGGGCTGGCAAAAAGCCTCACCTACCAGGAAAATGTTTGTTGCTTTCACAAGGTCGTCAGCATCATCATAGAAACTAAGTTTTATACATGCAAGAATATTATCCCATTTGCTCAATATTCATTGACAAAAATTGACAAAGTCACAAAAATACTTGAGATGAAGTACAAAACTATAACCCAACAATGAGGCCTGAAGGCTTTCCACACATATTAGCTTAAGTTATGAAAAAGTAACAGGTACTTGCTGACATGAGGGTCAAAACCAAGCCCTTCTGTGACATGCCTCAAAGGCAGCAGACAAGGCCTGAACTTTCTGCACCAGCACTACAGACAACTGAAGTTCTGCAATAATGCTGTAAACAGCTTTGTCCTATCATTGCCAACAATTCAATTATTTGTAACAGGGGGATAAAAGTCCCCCAGTTACTGATTTTGTCATGAGATGATCAAGGCTAGGAGGCAAGGAGTCCAAACCCTATTGCATTTTGGGTGCAATAAAGTGCATTTGCTATTGTATTCAGAGGTTTAAAAGAACACAAAATAAAGGAGAAACCATCCCTGCTTGCCAAGATCAATAGGTTTGTTTCCATTGAAACAGCCTTGCCTGTGTACTTCCATATCCTACTCCTCTCTCAACCACTATTGCTTGGCTGGTCTGATTCAACCTGCAACTTTAAGCTTAAATCAGCTGTTTTTCTGTAACACTACAATTACCATTGCAGATTGATAATGAAAACAGCTTAACAAAACTTGAAAAAAGGCACAATAAACTGAGGGCATAAAGCTCCCCAAAAGGTTCTCCCTAATCTCTCTGCTCTATCTTCTCTTGATACCAAACCAAAGCTCTGATTCAGAAAGGTACTGATGGTTAAATGTAACCAAATCCCAATTCCTCTACAGAGGATTTTTCTATTTTTTTTAAATAATACATTCTTATGTGTGTAAGATGTAATAATTCAATTCAAGCACTACAGTAGTCTCCATAAATCTGATTTGCCTATTCAAAAATGAGCTCAGAAAGTAAATAAACACAAAGCCAAGTGCAATAAAAATTCATGCTACATATTAATTGATTTGAAATCTATTCTTTTCCCTAAAATTGAGATTTATGTAGCACAATCAACATTCCAATTTATGCTTGTAACTCCAAAAGATTGGTGTTTAATTGATGTTTACCATTTTCAAACTTGGTTTTGTAAAGCAAAAGGTGATTGAGTGTAGAACAAAGCTTATCACACACATATAGAACAAAAACATTGACTTTTAAGAAACAAAAGCAGGCAAGAGAAAATGCAGAAAAAATGATTAATTTCAAACAACAGGGTTGATCTTTAAATAAAATAAGTATTTATTAGGCTTCACTCACCCACATGCTAACTAAGCACAGACTGATGGGATATTCAGAAGATACCACTGCGAGGTGAGGCAAACTACAAAGCCAGGAAGAAAACAGCTTATTGGACTATTTTGTTAGTAATATAGGTAAGAACTTTGTGGACATCTATTGCTTGTGGCTGAGACTGCTTGGTTAGATCACAATAACTATGTAGTAAAAGCTAGATTAGGGAAGGAGATACATTTATTGACCTCAACATATGTTAAATGTTTTCAGAAACCTGGTAAACATGGGCCCACTAAGAGAGTAAATAATTACTCACAGACACTTAGGACTATACACACATTCTTTTCAAGAAGCACAGCTAATGACCAATTTACACATTAGTTACAGATGTTTTGGTCATCAACTGAAATACAGAAACAACCAAGATTTCTTTAAAATGCACATTTACATTGTAGTTCAGAACATTATTGCTCATGAGATCTAAATACTGGCTAGTTTCAAATACCAGCATCACTCCAGTATCAACTGTGGACAAACACTACTGCCATGTTAGTAAATGTCAATAAATAAAATACCAAAAACCCAAGCATATTTCTTGACAGAATAATTTATGAAGAACTCTCCAACTTTTTAGTCCTAGACAGAATTGTTTTGTAATTCTGGGACTTGCCCCAAAAAATAATTTGTGCCTCAGTAAACAAACTCAGTAACTTGGAAAGCGAAGAAAAAACCTACTACATTCTCCATCCTGTGCCCTAACATTTATGTTTCCATTACATTTCTAAATGAATCTCTATGGATTTCGAAAGGAAAAAATTCCTAGGCTAGATCTGAGCCAAGAAAGGACCTCTATGTGAAACCCAAGGAGTTTTTGATCAGGGCATGAAGCTCTTTGAATGGTGATATCCCTAACAATGCAAGCACTTGCAGCCTGCAAACACACTCATTGTATGTTCTAGCCAGAATATCAAGGACCAAAACTTGGGTTATTATTTAGTATGAAAAGTTATGGATATCTTTTTTTATGAAGACCAGATTTCAAGCATCAAAAGCTGAAGGAACTGCAAAATAAGATCTACTCTCTCTCTTTCAGCCAACAGAGAACTCAAAATGTTTCCTAAATATTACTCTAGCTTGTCAAAAAAAAAAGTGCCAGCTTTCTACTTGAAGGTCAGAAAAGAGAGCCTGAGAAAAATCATATTTGGGATGCACAATACTTATTGGACCTCACTATTACCACCATTTATATAATTCTAAACGTATTTTAAACATTTAAGATTGCAAGACACTCTCAAAACCTCCTAAATGTACAGGAAAACATTGACAGATTTACCACTTCCCTCAGATTTGATACTTTAAGCAGATGACATGGTAGAATTCTTCTTTTGTTTCCATGATTCAATGTGACTTTAATGTAACTACTTCAACTGAAATGAAACCTTCAAATGTTTATCCTGTTTCTGCAAATGCTAAATATGTACCTGTATAAGCAAGGCCAGTGAGAGAAAGAGAATGCAATTCTTCTCACTCTAATTTGTAAATATTTTACTAAGCTGACCCACAGAGAGAGGGATCACAGTGTTGACTCCATTTTTTATCTTAATAAAAAGCAGCTCCAATATATAAAATTGTAACAGTAATACTAAATAAATGTTTAGACTTTTTTTTCTTCTGTTTTGGGTCTGTTTCTCCAACCCAAATTCACCTTTCTTGTAAATAGATTAGCTGGTAAACACCAACCAACTGTCACATAAGTGTATGGAAACTGAGAAAAAAAACTACCTAAAAAACCCAGAGTGAAGAGTTTAAGACTATTTTTGACCTGTCGTGACCCAGACTGAACCTGACCCATTCTGATGGCTTTTCAGCAAAAATAAAGCAGGCTTTTAAAAACCAAACCACAAGACTCAATCTTGTCAGGATACTCAAGATAAAAATGTACATATCTCGTTTCAAACGCACGTACCCCAGGTGATTGAGCTGATCAGTCTTCTGTTCTACAAGCAAAATGGCTTGTGTTTTTGGCAGAAATTTTATCCCAGGGCTGAAAAGTCTCTCTTGACCTATTTTTCATGAAAATTGGTATGACTCCCCAGAAAACTTCAGACTTTAAGAAACACTAGTTTTCTGTCAGGCTGCTTTTTTGATTAGAAAATTCATGTGCAGAAGAGCAGTGAAGACTGAACTTGCTTTGTCTGCTGTACCCACAGCTATCAGAAACACACCCTAACCAGTTATGAGAAAGACTAGTTAAGAAAACATGCTGGCTTTTTTTTCCCCTTCCCCTCACTTTTTCTATTAAGTTAAACCCAGAGCTGGAATTTAACATTCCACTGAAGAAGGAAGGAGGAATAAAAGGAGTTACTTCCTACATTCTTGAGGGTAGGAGGAAGGAGTTACTTCCTACATTCTTGTGAATGTAGACACAGAGGAAAAAGGAGGCTTAAAAGAAAGTTTCTAATTCCTTATTCTTGCAACCTAATCTCTTGTATAAGCTTGGTTTACTTGGGTAACTCACCAATGGTCGAGCATCTTCTCGTTCTAGTATCTTCTGAGCTTGATCTGCTGGGAACTTCAGCACTGTTGTTATAACCTTGGCCATTGTCTAAAAAGAAACAGGTCATCCATAAGTACTTTCATATGCACTAAAATGCTTTGTAGTATTTTTAAATGCATTTCACTTAAGAATACTGGATGCTATTTTTAGGAATATTAATGGAAAACAGTGAAATGACTAAGGCACAACTACTTGTTGTTGCAGCTAGTGTAATACAGTGTAACCTCTGTGATATCTATGCTCAAACACTCCAAGTCCATTATTAAGACAACATAATTTTACAAATACTGCTCCTACCACACTGGATCTCAATGCAGCCTTTCTGAAAAGCACATTTTGGGCACATGACACCTGAAGGTCCTTATGGATTCAGCTATATTTAACATCCAAATGTTTTGTAAAGAAATGAACTGTTGAGAAAGCAGATCCAATTGTCTAATGTGGAATTCCAGTTGTGCAAATATTTTCAGCTGGTATACAGTAACCCCATATTTAAACAGCAAATCATTCAGACATCCTCAGGCAGAAGAGGCAAGAATAACAAAGCTCTGTGCCTAACAGGCAATGATTATTTCCATTTTATAAAGAGAGAAGCAGGAAGGAAAAAAGCTCCCGAAGGCACAGAACAAGGTTCAGGTGACTTTGACAAGAAAGGTCAAAGTAAGAGTTACAGTGCAGCTCAAACAGAAGGTGACTGCTACAAAAGCAATAACTGCTGCTCTGAAAGAATGTGGATGAGATAAGATTGCTGCTCAATGTCTGCTGTTTATTACCAGTCTCACGTGTGGAGGGAAGAGGGAGGCTGCAGCAAGGAAGGAGCTGCCCAACAAAAATTACTGCAGCTAAAAGTGAGAGGTAAAGCCCTAATCTGCAACAATTGCTGCAGTATGTAACTTATCTAGGAATAAAAACAAAGAAAAGAAAACAAAAACTACACCCTGTTGAATCCTTTCAGCTCAAAAAGATGAATTTTAACATCTTAATAGTTCCTATAATTACATAACAATCTTTTTTAGCATTTTTGTCTAGGTCCCTAACAAAAAAAAAAATTACAAAATCCAGTAATGTGCACATTTTTCTTTAATGGCTTCTGGTATTTGTTATCCAAGTAGGAGAGCCATCCAACGAGTCACAGGCTTGTGAACAGAAGTTAACTAGTGATTCTGGGGTTTTTGGATCAGGGATTTGTGTTTTTAATAAAAAAGGCATTAATAGCAAAGTGAAAATGGGATAAAAGCAGAGAGGAACAGGAATCCCACAAGAAGTCCTGCACAGACTAAGTTCTATTCTGTACAGAGCGCAATGTTCAGAACAAAGCTGATTAACATGGAACCCTTCATAAATCCTCTTCACTTTAGTAGTTGTCCAGTTTGAAAGCAGGGCAACAAAGAATGGAAGAACTCCAGGGAGGAGAAAAAAAGAAAAAAAATAGAAAACAATTCATCCACATAGCATTCATCATCCAAGAAAAATGTCTGTGTTATGACATACCTCTTCTGAACCTGGTCAGACTCTAAGCATCAGCATTGTTGCAAGCTAGTAAAATTCCTACTTAGGAATGATTTCCTAAGCTTGCACCATGCAACAAGAAGCCTGCTGTGCAAATTTCCACTGTTAATTTGCTTTTAAGAGTCAATTAACAGCATCTAGATAAGATACACAGGTTTGGGAGCCCTGTAAAACATCTTTAAGCCACAACTAAAAACATTTTACCATATTCGGAGCTGCTACTATTTAATCCAACTGTTACTTACCATGTTTGTGCCAAGATGACATCAAAAAAGCATTTTTTGCTAATACTGTGCCTAATAGCTTTCACAGTACATTAAGCTTGATAGACAACAGGACTTTGCTGGCAAAATTATACCTAGCCTATCAAAGTTTTTGCCTTCATTGATATTGGCGAGAGAGGTGACAACTCCCCTTCTCTTGCCAGTCATCCTGGCAGGCTGACAGAGTTTTTAATGTATAGATCATACCTCTGGAAAAAAGTGAAAGGCTATCAAACCCTCTGTCAGTAATAAAGAGTATGTAACGAATCACAAACACGTGGTACTTCACATCTCCACAGCAAGGATGTTAAAACTGCATTCCAACTTCAATCACATGTCACCATATGCAGCTTCCATACCTTTGTCTCCCGACCCATCATATATTCAAAGAGTACTTTCCTTAAGTACTCAAACTCAGTAGGCTCCCCAAAAAGTGATACGTCAGTATGGTGAAGGTTTCCATCTGCGTAAACAAAAATAAGGTACTATTTATACTCAGAGTCACACATATGGCTCTAAGTTTCATCAGTGGCATAAATCTGAACAAGGAGAAATGCTGATTCTGCACCTGGGATGGAGTAACACCAGACAAGTCTACCCAGGGAGAGCAGTGGCTGGGGAGCACCCTGCAGAAAGGGCCCTGGGGGTGCTGGCTGGCAGGAGGCTCAGCAGGGCTCAGAGGTTGTGCCCTGGCAGCCAAGAGGACAAAGCCCCTCATGGGGTGCACCCAGCAG